AAGGCACAGGCATCACCTACAGATTGGATACAGTGGGCGTTAGGAAAGGTCTGACAACACTGCAATGCAGTAGAAGCACCTGCTGCTGAGCAGTGATGCTAAATTTTAATAAAAGTCTCACTTAAGCTGTGTAAGTCTGAAACATACATTACTTACTACTCAGAAACAATAGACAGCAAACATTCAGAAGTCATAAAACCTAGACTTGGCCAGACATGTTATAGAGGGTCCTAACTGCTCTCAGAAATTGCAACACTAGGAACAAGATTTGTGCAACCAAAATACATCTTAAAATAAAAAATTAAGGAGCAAAAATGATAAACTAGATCTAATCTAAACTGACACATCCTAAAAACCAGGAGAAATATTTCAATGCTCAAGTTGCAAAGGCGGGCACTGCAGCATATGCCTCCCACCCAGCACTCACTCGTGTGACAGCTAATATTTTTCTAACTGGACACAAACTAGAGTCATCTGAGAGGAGGGAACCTCAGCTGAAAGAAGGCCTCCATAAAACAGGCTTGGAAGTGAGCCTGTGGGGCAGTTTCTTGACTGATGATCTACGCAGTAGGGCACAGGCCACTGTGGGTAGTGTTCACCCTAAATAGGTCTCCCAGGGGTAGTTAAGAAGGCAGAAGAGCAGGCCACGAGGAGCAAGCCAGGAAGCAGTACTCCTCCACGATCTCTGCTTCAGTTTCTTTCTCCAGGTTCCCACCCTGCCTTGAGTTTCTGTCCTGCTGTCTTTGAATAGACAATGATGTGGTAATGTAAGCTGAAATAAACCCTTTCCAAAATTGCTTTTGGTCATGATTTTACCACAGCAATGGAAATCTTAAGTCAACTATGGAGACTGGGAAAGGATGATCTTGTGTTCAAAGCCAGCCTAGGTTATAGAGTGAGACTCTGCCTCAAGAGAAAAACAAAACAAAACAAGAAATAAAACAAAACCAAATAAATAAATAAATAAATAAATCCTCAAGTTGCTGAATAACTTCTACAGTAGAAGAGAGGCTGAGAAAGTTGATTTGAGAAACAGTTCTTACTCAAATCAAAAAGGAGAAACACTTTTTACATTACTTAATATATTTAGACATATTTGAAGTTTTGAATAAGTTATATCTGTATAGTAATTGAAACAAGTCCTTCCATTCCCATCCCACCTTATGCCTCATGGTTAAAAGTCCATGAGGTGACAGACGCCAGGTAAAAAAGAGAAGACTGTATACAGACAATGAGAAAACCCTATGCTCCGATGCAGACTTCAGTGGCTTACCCTACCATCTACTTCAAATGCAAACGACAGAACTGCAGCCCCACACTCATCCTCTCATAAAGTGCAATGGAAAACATCTGGACTGTGAGCCTGTAATTCCATACCTAGCAGCTACACAGAACTTTGCATGAAGGGTACTGAAACAGAACCACAGAGCTGTAGATCTGGCAGGTGACAATTCACACCAACCACACACTTGGGAGCAGTGGGTATCCAATGTGGGTAAACCTGCATCCTCCATGCACTACCTGGGCATCTTCCACGTACTTAGTCCTTGTTCCCAGTCAATGCAGTGTCTTTGGAATGACATTAAGTTTTAATTATATCGAGACCAAAGGCTACTAGCAGTTACCAAGGGGAAGGAGATGAGACGTATTAAACAAAGACTTGCTTTGCACAAATGGAGCATTTCAGAGAAGGAAAATCACATGTGCACTCTTGATAGGGGAGGGGTCTACAAAGATGGTTTGAGATATGGAACTTGGCCCAGGCTTCCAAAAATGACCCCAATGTTAATTAATGAATTTAGTCCAAACCAGCAGATAGACCTTAATTTCTATTCTTTAACAGTCATGGCACAGTCTTCCCTTTTAACTAACTCTTGACTTCTTTCTTTAGAATTTTTATAGAGCAGCCTGGGCTATATGAGATTCTGTCTCAAACAAACAAAAAAAATGAAAGAAAGGAAATTGGTGCGGGAGAATTATCTGTATTCTGTCAATCATATTTTAATAAAACGCTGATTGGCCAGACAGGCAGTATAGGCAGGAAAGCCAGAAAGGAAGTAGAGGTGGAGCAAAGAGACTGGGAGTATTCTAGGAAGCTCCCTCTGCCAGTTCTGCCCAGACCATCGGAGAGGAAAGATGTAAGCTGCCACGCTTGAAAAGGTACGAGCTGTGTGGCTAACGTAGATAAGGATAATGGGGTAACATAAGTTATAAGAACTAATAAGTAGCCTGACCTAATGGGCCAATCAGTTTATAATCTTATGGAGTCCTGTGTGTGATTTTCATTGGGAGTTGCCGGCTGTGGGGTACTGGGCAGGACAGAAACCCCAACAAGCCGGCCCTCATGTTACAGGAAATAATGGGGAAAGCCTGTCTCTGAGTCTAGTGTAAGCTTAAAAGTTTAAAATTTCACAATTCTACAAAAAAATATTATTTTCGAAATCAGCCAGATTTCTAAAACTGAAAATTACATAGTTCCAAGATTTGATACTTAATGTGAACAGATACAGAAAGCTGTCCAGCAGCTAAAATCGGATATAATCATAAGCACAGAGAAAGAAATGTAAATGAATAGTTATACTGTCAACCACTTGTTCTCCAAAGCAGGACGTACACTGCACGTAGTAGGATATTTTTCAGAAGCTGTAAGTGATGGCTTAGGAGGAGACCTTCATGACTGTTTTTCTAGCCTGCTGAGCGTGGCATTTGCTGTCAACTGTGAGAGCCTTCTGAGTACTCCATGACCTCTAAAACTTTGTGGCAAACACTTAAAATTTAAAAGGATTCTGAGGGTGCTAGAAAGACAGTAGGCCAAAGTCAACATGAAGCCGAACTAACTACATCGTAGAGGAGGAGACAGCAGCCTTGTCTGTTCTCAGTGCCACCACTAAGGTCCACCCACCAAGGCTACGGAGCATCACATGCTGGGAACAATAAGCTTTCAGAAAATCCTATTCCTATCTCAGAAAAGCTCCTTGGGGTTGAACTATCAAAAAAAAAATGCTCAAAAAAGATTTAAAAAATACAAAATTTAAAACTCTATCAATTTCCCTACACAAAAATCATATGGTGTCCTAAGTTGATCCATTTTCTTTATTTTGTAATTAACTACATAAATGCCTTGAGAAGCTTCAGGCATCGTTAGGCAATCTGGAGACAGCGAGAACTTTCTCCCTAAACTTCGGCTGACAATTTACTCCCCTAATAATGTATTGTTTTCTGACATTAATGTTGAAATGCCAAGACATTCTGACAGATAACTATTTGAAAATTTGTATTCAAAGCTTTTAAATAGCATGAAATATCAGTTTGGAACCAACTGCTAAACAGAAGGGCAAGGGCAGCGGGAAGTAGGGGGCTGTAATGGAGGTGCCAGTAACAACTCCAGCCTCCGTCCTGATATTGGCATATTAATGCTAGCAGTGGGGTTCCCAGCACTACAGCAATTAGACTGGATACATTTTCCCCTAAATGAACAAAATCCTCTTTATTTGTGTTTATTCAGAACTTCACGTGTTGGAAACTGAGAAAAAAAATATACAATGGAAAAATTACAAAAGACAAACCAAAAGTCAATTATCAAACATTAAGCTAAAGGATAATTTCTGAGTTTCACTTTGAAAGCAAAGGAAAAGATGCTCTTTGCTAAGGGTTGGTGTATTTACAAGGCCTCAGACTAAAACCACTCTACTGAGGACAGTAGCTACAGGCTACTACTGTTACTGGACACCACTCCAAATCCCTGTGTGCTGTCTATGGAGAACACATTCTGGAGTCACAGGCTTTGTCTGGAAAAAAAAGAATAGAAAATAACTTACGAGTATCTTTTCATACTGCGACTGAAACTATATTATTTGGGATGAACTGGATTAAACAGAACTGCTAAGTGTGCATTTCTGTGTCTCTTTTCACTTTGCACAGCTAGGAAGAAATTGAAGTTTAGATGAGGCAACACTAATACATAAATGGAATTGTAGTAAATTCCTTTGTTCTTTAAAAGATTTATTTTGTGCTATGCTCGTGAGGTTTGTGTGTGTGTGTGTGTGTGTGTGTGCGCGCGCGCGCGCGCGTGCGCCCGCATGTGCGTCCACACACATGTGCCTGGAGAAGTCAAAAGAAGTATTTGATCCCCTGGAGCCAGAGTTATCCATAGTTGTGAGCTGGCCAAGTAGGGTGTAGGGAACCAAACTCAGGTCCTCTGGAAGAGCAGCAAGGCCTCATAACCACTAAACCATCTCTCTCCAGTCCCTTAAGTAGCTTTCAAAGTCTCTTCTAGTCTCAAGTCTGACACTAAGAAGTTGCATACCCCAGTTAGCAAGCCTTGTTAAGTTACTTTACAACAAACTTTCTCTCTTAGAGACTTTTCCTATTCACAAGTACCTTCTCTCAGAACCTTCTAATTCAGTTTCCCTTAGTCCCTTAGTAGACGAAAACGATTATGCTAGTTGACTTGTTTCTGTAAAGGGAAGCTCATTCAAGGGCATCGTGGGCAGACAAGCTCTTAATTGCCTTCTCATCATATTCTTTCCATTTGGGGCTATGTTCTCTTTTACTCCCTACTCTATCTGCAGAGTACCCATTCTTGTCCATTTGTGGTAACAATGAACTCTGATATTTGTTTTGATATATGTAAAACAGGAGTGAAGGATAAAGGAACTTCATAAGTCTTATTATCTGATGATCTCAAATATTCTGGCATTCCATGTTGTCTGAGAAACATCTGGAATATATTATTTTTCAGCCTTGGTATCCAGAGAGTCTGAATTTGATGGTCTTTAGGAGGCCTAAGGTCATGTACTGAAGAAGCTGCCCAGGCCGCTGGAAGGTTCAAACATGGTTTGGAGACCACCTGTCTTGCCTAATTTCCTTTTGTACTGGGTATAAAATGAATTGTCACTGTGGTAAGGCAAGGGGCCTCAGGCCTGCAGCTGGGATGCAGTGCTCCCAGATCCAGCCCACTACTATTGTGGAATGATGTTCTTTGAGCACACATTACTCACTCCTCCAGAGCCTCGGCCATCAGTATATCTTCTTTGTCAGTTTTAACATCCAACTCTGGTTCTCCACTAAGCAAAAGTTTCATGTTATAAATAACCAGCAAAGTTCCTGGAAGGAAAAAGAATAGGAAATATTGACTTGTCAGTCCTTCAAGTGCTCTAAATCCTCGGCATGTCTAATCACTTCATCTGTAGCATTCAGTCTACTCTAGAGCAAATTTCCTGTTTCGATTCAGCAAGATATGTTTGGATAAAATGCAAGCTATGCCTTATGGAAAATTACACTGTCTGAGACTGCTGCATTTCCATAATATGCTGCTCTTAATACTATTCAATCCACTATCAGTCTTTCAAACTTTGGCAGACCTTTCATAATTTGCATTTTGACAATTGCTAAGAGCCTGAGCCATGATTGTAATATAGGTGAAGTTATATCACATTGGTGAAACTGAATCCAATGTATATAAGAAAAAAATAGTTTAAAACATAGCACTGAATGTTGCTTCTAGTTTATAGAGCAGGTGCTGACAAACTATTCTGAAAAAAAGCCAATTGGTAAATATTTTAGGCTTTGCAGTTCATATTTCCACTGTCATAGCTACTCACAACTAATTTTGGTCACTATGTCACAAAAACAGCTAGAGAGGAGGCATAAAGAATTGTATGCAGTTGTGTTCCAATAAAATTTTATTTATAAGTACAAAACACAGGTAAAACCACGTGGGCTACATGCAGATCTTCTCTTCTCCCTCTGTTCCCCTGGATCCACCCCCTCCAGTCTCATCCCCACTCTGCAGCAGAACACTTATGGCCTTCCCTGCCCTCTCCCCTCATTCCCATCTCTTGTGAATCCCACAGAGCTTTCCCTTCTAACAACTTCCTTCCACTCACTCATTGCTTTTTTCCCAAGCAGGCACCCCTGCTAACCTGTGGCCAGTCCTGCCAGGGCATTAAGTAGGTTGACAGCAGATTCACATTTCTCCTTCTGCTCCTCTAGATGCCATACCCCCAGCTCTGTAACAGGATACCTGCGGTTGTCTTCCCTCCCTCTCTGGCCTCATCCCTAAGGGACCACATAGACCTTCTTCCCAAACCTTCCCCCTGACTCCCAAGTCATACCAGTATCCCAGCCTCCAACACTAGCAGGAACACACTGGGAACATACCACCTGAGCAGGTCAGGGAAACCGATGCCTAAAAAATATCCTACCAGGAAGCACACATCCACTATACTCTCTTAAAGTCCAGGAAGGAAGCAGGAACCAAGGAACAAAACACACCCAATAGAGACAAAATTAGATTCAGGTATCAAAGACCAGACCTATGGTCATCCCAATCACAGACGCTAAGATGTCAGCATAAAAATACAATGAGTAACAGCCAGGACAGTATGTCTCCACTGGAGCCCAGCTATCCTACCATAGCAGGCATTGCTTACTCCAGCACAGCTGAAGCCCAAGCAAAAGACCTAAAACAGCCTGTAAAAGAGAACTTAATAAGTCCCTAAAGAAAACACTAACAAACGGTGTGAGAAAGTGAATAAATCCCATAAAGAAGTCTAGGAAAATATAAACAGTGCAAAGAAAGGAATAAAATTGTAAGACCTGAATGTGGAAGTGGATGAATGAATGAAGAAAATGAAATCTGCAGTAACTGTGGAAATGAAAAGCTTGGGAATTCAAAGAGAACTACAGAGGCAAGTTTCCCTAAGAGATTGCAGAAGATGGAAAAAAGAATCTCGGGTGTTGAAGATATGATAGAAAACAATGGACACATTGGTCAAAAAATGTTAAATCTAAAAATTTCAAAACATCCAGGAAATCTGGGACACTATCAAAAGGCCAAATCTAAAAATAAGGAGAAGAAGAAAATTTTCCTAACTTGAGGACATTCCTATAAAAGTACAAGAAACAAACAGAATAACTAATAGATTGGACCCAAAAAGAAAGAATATTTAAATCTGCAAAGGAAAAAGATCAAGTAACACATAAAGGCAGACCTATTATAATTACATCTGACTTCTCAATGAAAACTCTCAAAGTCAGAAGGGCCTGGACAGATGTGGTGCAGACTCTAAGAGACCACAGATGCCAGCCCAAACTACTACACCGTACAAAACTCTCAATCATAATAGATGGAGAAAATAAAATATTTCACGATAAAACCAAAGTTAAGCAATATTTATCTACAAATCTAGCCCTAAAAAAGGTGCTAGGAAAAGAACTCTAACCTAAGGAAGTTAATTCAAAACTTGAAAACATAGTGAAATAAACAATCCCAGATCATCAAAATCACATACACCATTATCACCACTACCACCACCACTACCAACACCAACACCACCACCAACAACAACAGTAAAATAACAGGAATCAACAACTATTAATATCTCTCAATATAAATGGTCTCAATTCCCCAATCAAAAGACACAGACTAACAGAATGGATGTGTAGAAATGACCAACTGCTATTGCTGCATCCAATAGACAGTTCAACATCAAAAATAGGCATTACCTCAGGGAAAATGGTTAGGAAAGGGTATTCCAAACAAATGCACCTAAGTAAGAAACAAGCTTGTGTGGCCATTTTCATATCTAGCAAAATAAGCTTCAAACCAAAACTAATCAGAAGAAATAGGGAAGGACACAACATATTCATCAAAGGTAAAAATCCACCAAGATGGTATTTCAATTCTTAACCTCTATGCCCCAAAGACAAGGGAAGCTATGCTTGTAAAAGAAAAACTTTTTCAGTGTAAATCACGTATTGACCTTTACTTGCTAATAGTGGGAGCTTTCAATACTTGACTCTCAATAGACAGGTCACCTGGACAAAAATTAAGGACAGAAATAATGGCATTAGCAAACATTTTAAAACAAATGGATCTAATTGATATTTACAGAATATTACATTCAAACATAAAAGAATATACCTTCTTCTCAATACTTCACAGTACTTTCCCCAAATCTGGCCACTTACTTGAACACAAAGCAAGTCTCAGCAAGTAACAGGAAAACTGCAATAAGTCCCTGCATCCTATCTGACCATCGCAAATTAAAGCTGAATATCAACAACAGGAACAACAGAAATCCTACAAACTCATGGGAACTGAACAACTCTCTACTGTATGAAAAATGGGTCAATTGTTTCCTCTGCATATTCTGGATTTTTGGGGATCCAGTCTGATTAGATAGTCACCTTCCCAGTCCTGGAGGGAGCGGGGAGGAACTTGAACTACCCACAGGGCAGGAAACCCTGACTGCTCTTAGGGATGGAGAGGGAAGAGGAGAGGGAGTGGGGGGAGTGGGAGGGTGTTGGGAGGAGGGGCGGAAATGGAAACTTTTATATTTTAATAAACTTTGGAAAAAAAAAGAAAAATGGGTCAAGACAGCTATAAAGAAAAACTAAAGACTTGCTAGAATACAGTCAAAATGAATACACAGCACATGCAAATGTATAAGCCACAAATAAAAGTGATTCTAGGAGAAAAGTTCATAGTATTTGAGAGGGCCAGGGAACCACACCAGAGCCATGAAATGTTTCTAATAGCCCCTGTGACAGATTCGATCTTAGTTTCGGTTTACTGGAGGTGGCTGGAGCTGACCTAGCAGCTCTTGGGAAAGCCACAACTCAGGAGCAACCAATCAGCAGGCGACCCACAGCCTTCTGCTAGCAGAACAAAGGACCACAGCTAACTAAAGATAGCCTTCCCTACCCTGCCTCTGGAAAGTTACTAACCACTAGAGCCACCCATCAGTCAGCTTTCAGACTAATTTCTCCACCACCAATCAGTCTCCAAACTAATCTCTCCTCCCTGGAATTCCCCCCACCAGCTAAAAGGGGGGCCTGCGAACCTCTTGAGTGGTAACCATTCCCCAGGGCAATTTTTTATTAATAAACACTCTTGTTGACTACATATGTGATTTTCTATGGGACATCTCGAGGACCTTAACAATGTTAAGTGCCTACATAAAAAACTAGAGAGATCTCTTACTAGCAACTTAATAGCATACATAAAAGCGCTAGAACAAAAAGAAGAAATCATACCCAAAAGGAGCACATGACAAGAAATAAGCAAACTGAGAGCTGAAATCAATAGAATAGAAGCAAAAAGTTTGTTCTTTGCAAAAAATCAAGATAGACAAATCCTCATTTAAATTAACCAAAAAGAAGAGAGAATATACAAATTAAAAAATTAAAAATAAAAAGGGGGACATAACGACAGATACTGAGGAAATCTACCGAATCATAAGGACATTCATTAAAAATCAGGAGGGCTAGAAAGATGGCGCAGAAGTTAAGAACACTGGCAGCTCTTCCAGAGGTTCTGAATTCAATTTCAAGCAACCACACGGTAGATCACAACTATCTATAATGAGATCTGGTGCTCTCTTCTGGCATGCAAGAATATATGCAGACTGAATACTGCACATGTAGAAGCAGTCATTAAAAATACCCCAACCAAAATAAAAAGCCCAGGGCCAGATAGTTTTAGTGCAGAATTTTACTAGACTTTCAAGGAAAAGTTGACACCAATACTGCTCAAATTATTCCACAAAATAGAAACAGAAGGAACTTTGCCCAATTCATTTTATTAGGCCCAGTTACCCTGATACCCAAATCACATAAAGATTCAACAAAAATAACAAAATAATAGAATTCAGACCAAATTCCCTCATGCATATTCATAGAAAATGCTCAATAAAACACTTGAAAACCAAGTCTAATAACACATCAAAATGATCATCCATCATGATCAAGTAGATAGATGTCAATCCCAGAGATGCAGGGATGGTTCAACATATGAAAATCAGTAAATGTAATACACCATATAAAAAACTGAAAGAAAAAATATGTGATCATTTCATTAGATGCTGAAAAAAAGCCTTTGATAAAATTTAACACCCTTCTTGATAAAAGTCCTAGAGAGATTAGGAATACAAGGGGCATACCTAAATATAATAAAGGCAAATTACAGCAAGACAATAGCTAACATCAAATTAAATCGAAAGAATCTCAAAACAATTCCACTAAAATCAGGAACAGACAAGGCTGTCCACTCTCTCCATATCTATTCAATATAGTACTTGAAGTCTTAGCTAGAGCAATAAGACAACTGAACATGATTAAGGGAATACAAATTGAAAAGGAAGAAGTCATAGTAACTTTATTTGCACATGAGATGATAGTATACATAAATGACCCTAAAAATTCCATCAGGGAACCCCTAAAATTGATAGACACTTTCAGCAAAATAGCTGGATACAAAATTAACCCACAAAACTCAGTAGCCCTTCTGTATTCAAATAACAAACAGACTGAGAAAGAAGTGAGGGAAACAGCGCCTTTCACAACAGTCTCAAATAAAATATTTTGGGGTAACTCTAACCAATCAAACTCTTGTTTGATTAAAAGTTCCTGGACTGGTAGGTATAACATGGTAGGAATGGCCATCCTACCAAAAGCAAGCTACAGAGTCAAAGCAACCCGATAAAAATTCAAACACAATTTTTCACAAACCTTAAGAAGACAATTCTCAGCTTCATATGGAAACACAGAGGAATAAGAAGGAAGGAAGGAAGGAAGGAAGGAAGGAAGGAAGGAAGGAAGGAAGGAAGGAAGGAAAGAAGGAAGAAAGGAAGGAAGGAAGGACGGTCAGCTAAAACAATCCTGAACAAGAAAAGAACTCTGGGGCTGGATGGTGATGCACACCTTTAATTCCAGCACTTAGGAGGCAGAGGCAGGTGGATCTATGAGTTCGAGGCCAGCCTGGTCTACAGACCTAGTTCCAAGACAGCTAGGGCTGTTACACAGAGAAACCCTGTCTTGAACAATCAAAACAAGAAAAAAAAAGTGTGGAAGATCTCAGCATTCCTCATTTCAAGTTATACTACACAAGCTATGCCAATGAAAGCAACATGGTGTTGGCATAAAAACAGACAGGTTAATCAATGGAATCAAACTGAAGATTCAAACATAAAGTCATACACACTTATGAACACCTGTTTTTTTTTTTTACAAAGAAACTAGAAATGTACACTGGAAAAAAATACAGCACCTTCAACAAATTGTCAAACAACAACAAAAAAAGACCAGTACAAAGACTCTTAATAATATTCTTCTATACTCATAGAATGTTACCTTACTCATCCATCATCTGAGAAGCTTCTTCAACTTCATATATAATGTCAAATTTGGTCTGTGGCTATCACTTGCTGACTCCTGCTACAAGGCAAGGATAACTAAAAATGTACAAACTATTCACAAAACTAATTGCGATATGAAGATAAATGTGGTTTTTCAGAAAAACTAAAAAGGGAAACTAATTATACTTCCTTCGTTACAGAGAACAGCATATGGGCTAAGAACAAGAACTCTGAAGTCAAAATGAAAATTTTGTAATCAAAATGCTCATATCTAAATACTGGATCAACTACTGAATATTGTGGTCACCTCAGGTCTCACCTCTGTGTGGTTTTACATCTGCCCAGGACCTGTACTCACACACAAGGAAAAACAAGCAAATATAAAAACCACTCTACTAATATTTATATGAGCACTTAACAGTTAGAAGTCATCTGAGAGATTAAATGTCCATTAATATATATATAAATACTGCCTGTAATGTTGCATTTGTAGAACCTAGATTTAAAATTACATTTTTTGTGTGTATATACAAGTATTTATGTATGTGCATGGGCACAAGCTTAAGAAGGAAATCATGACAGGGGAGGAAGAAATCTTAAGGGAGGGGAGAAAACAGAGAATGGAGTGAAGTCTAATAGTAGAAAATCCTAAGAGGGGACTAACTCAGGGAAGGAAAGGGCCGGCTGGAGCAGGGAGGGGCCGTCAAAGAGAGGGATGCTGAGAAGCAAGATAAGGGCACATCTGAAGATACCATGAAAGCCACTGCTTCAAGTCTAACCTAAAACAATAAGATTATAATATTTATATTAACATACAAATACTAACTTACTTGCCACTGCTTTTTTCTCAATGGCAGAGGGAAAGAATCAACAACATCTTTAAACTACAAAGCCACAGGTTATAGAAGGTCTCTCAGAGATAAAGCAGGCCAACTTGGAAATGAAATTACCAAAATGTTGCTAAAAATATATCAATGGAAACACTGCTAAGAGTAGGACACATACAGCGTTCTCTAAAGCAGACTTCTTCCTAGGTTTCGAAAGACAAAAATGGAGACTGTCTAGAGAAAGGTCAACACAAGGCAATTCCTATAGCTTGTGTGGTCTAGACGCTACAGACAAAGCTGAAAGCAATGAGGGAAGGGTCTGTCCATCTGAAAGAAGGGCGATGAAACACTGTTTATCCCACTCAGACATAAAGGCAACTACTACATCTGATGCTATGCAGACTTTTTTTTTCAGACAGGGTTTCTCTGTAGTTTTCAGACCTGTCCTGGAATTAGCTGTTATAGACCAAGCTGGCCTTGAACAGAGATCCACCTGCCTCTGCCTCCTGAGTGCTGGGATTAAAGACGTAAACCATCACCACCCAGGCCCTGCTGCTAACTCTCAACAACATAGCAGCACACAAACTAAGAACCTGCAATTGATGGCTAATTCTGCTATGAAGTACAAGGCTGAGGAGTCCTGCAGGCACAGGCTTCAGCATGCTCTGCTCATTCAGAAGCTGAAGCCTGAACCTTTGAACTTGTGTCAAGGATTTACAGTAAGTCCTATCTGGATTCTCTTAAGATAAAACCCATATGGATGGAATGAATAGCTGTCTCATGTAAAACTGTACCTGAGATCATTGATAGAAAAAATACAAACATAAATGCTTCCATTAAAATTTTACTTTTGCTGACTTACCACATCTCCCATAGATCATATCAAATTGTTCCATCAATTTAGCTTCAGTTTTGAATGGGGAGTATTTATAAATGATGGATAACTCTGTGAAGAACTTCTGGGGGTTGTCTGTGACACTCTCTCTTGTTCTTGTTGACCATGAAGGTATTGGAACTACAACCTGGTTTTGTAAAACACAACCATTTGTTATGAAACACACACACAAAGATTCCTTTGTTTGATCCCAATTTATTCTCTTCTTCCAAATCACAAAACATAAAGTTAAAAGTTTATCTTTCTTCTGAAGCTTAGATTTACAAGGAAGAGACAGACAATGAATATGTATACTCAGAATTTTGTTTTTAAAGTTTCATTGTCAGGGCTGCTGCAACAGCTCAGTATAAGCATTTGTCACAAGGGTCGAATGGAATGACACACATGGCAGAGCAGAAGAACCAGTTCCCACAAAGTGTCCTCTGACCTCCATTCACACACCATGGCACAAAAGGCTCTCTCTCTCTCTCTCTCTCTCTCTCTCTCTCACACACACACACACACACACACACGTGCATACACACTCACTCTCTCTGACTCTGTGTGTGTGTGTGTCTCTCTCTCTCACACACACACATACACACTCACACAAATAAAAATAAATGAAAATAAGTAGGGTTTCCCCCAATAAAACAGCTAGTTAGATTACAGCACTCACAGCTGCCAAGCCCCACCCACAATCTCAGAGCTTTCAATAGGTTGACCTTTGAAGTGTTGGGCGTTAATAGGCATAGAAAACCCTTTGATATGACAGAGAACATAAAGTTCGGTGGACGGGGGATGGGGACTATCTGGGAGGAGCTTAGATAAGCGGAATGAATATGATCAAAATATATTGTAGGAAATTCTCACCGAATAAAACTTTTCAAAGCCAATCAGTGTGGCGGTTTCTCAGGAAACTGGGAGTCAACCTCCCTCAGGACCCAGCAATTCCACTCTTGGGAATATACCCTAGAGATTCCCTAGTATACTACAAAAGCATTTGTTCAACTATGTTCATAGCAGCACTATTTGTAATAGCCAGAACCTGGAAACAGCCTAGGTGCCCCTCAATAGAAGAATGGTTAAAAAAGGTGTGGAACATATACACATTAGAGTTTTACTCAGCGGTAAAAAATAATGACATCTTGAATTTTGCATGCAAATGGATGGACATAGAAAACGCTTTACTGAGTGAGGTAAGCCAGACCCAAAAAGAGGAAAACGGTATGTATTCACTCATAAGTGGATTCTAACCATAATTTTAAAGGTCTTTGAGCCTATTATTCATGATCCTAGAAAAGCTAAATAAGAAGACGAACCTGATGAAGATTATTTAGCTATCCGCCAGGAGGTAGGAAATAGTCAAGAGTCCCAGGTAACCTTGGGTGCATGGGAGGTGGGTGGGAGGGTTGTTGGAAGGGGAGAGGGTTAGAGAGAAGGGAGTAGGGGAGAAATGGAGAAAGCTCGGTAGACCGGGATGGGGGGAAGGGAGGAAGGATGAATATGGGATCAGGGAAGAATATATTTCAACAAAGGGAGTCATTTTAGGGTTTATAGGAAACTTGATTATATATGGGATCCCAGGTCCAAGGAGAGATCCCCAGATTGTTCTCTGGACAGAGGAGAGGGTGCCTGAACCGGCCTTGGCCCATAACCATACTGATGAATATTTTGCTTATCACCATAGATCCTTCATCTGGCGATGGATGGCGATACAGACGGAGTCCCACATTGGAGCACCGGACTGAGCCTCCCAAGGTCCAAATCAGGAGCAGAAGAGGAAGAAAATGACGAAGGACTGCGAGGGATGCTATCACCCACTGATACAAGGGGTCGGATCTAATGAGAGTTTACCAAGGGCAGTTGGACTGCGACTGAACGAGCACGTGATCCAACCAGATTCTCTGAATGTGGCCGGATTCTCTGAATGTGGCTGGCCCGGAGTCTTTCTGAGAAGCCATTGACAATGACACTGGGACTAGTTTCCTCTGCATATACTGGATTTTTGGGATCCAGTCTGTTTGGATACTCACCTTCCTGGACCTGGAGGGAGGGGGGACGAACTTGAACTTCCCACAGGGCTTGAAACCCTGACTGCCCTTAGGGACAAAGAGGGAGGAGGAGAGGGGGGGGGAGTGGGAGGGTGTTGGGAAGAGGGGCGTAAATGGAATCTTTTATAATTTAATAAAATTACTTAAAAAAATAAAAATAAAATATTTAAAAAAAAACTTTTCAAAGCCTCTAGTATAACAAATAGAAACCAAGTTTAAAAAAAAAATCTGTGGAAACAGAAGCCATCTGAGGAGGATAAAAACTTCAAGGAGGAATAAAGAACATTGTTAAAATCTTCAGAGTAAGGTGGGTAAATATGTGCAAACCCTCTACTCAGGAAGTAGAGGCAAGAGGGTTACAAGTTCAAACACAATCTTGGCAATTTAATGAGATCCTAAGTTAAGATATTTTTTTTAAAAAATTTATGCTAAAGATGAACCCAGAAAGACAAACATGTTATGTACTCATTTGTGAGTGGATGTTAGCTGTAAAATAAAGGGTAACCATGCCACAATCCACAAACCCAGAGAGGCTAGGTAACAAGGAGGGCCCTGGGGTGGGGGGATGCATGGATCTCCCTGGGAAGGGGAAATAGAAGACCTCTCCTAGGTGAACCGAGAGCAGGTGGGGATGGGAACTTGAGGACTGAAACGGATGGAAGGGGAGAGTACTGAGAGAGATGACTGGAAAGCAGGGCATTTGGGGGTCAGATAGAAACCCAGTGCAAAGGAAACTCCCATGATCTACAAGGATAACCCCGGCTAAGACTCTGAAGAATAGAGGATGCACAGCCTGAACTGGCCATGTCTTGTGATCAGATTGGTGACTACGCCAATTGTCATCAACGAGCCTTTATCCAGCAACTGATGGAAACATATGCAGAGACTCCACTGCCAAACATTAGGCTGAGCTAAGGAAATCCTGCTGAGGAGAGGAAGAAAAGATGGTAGGAGCAAGAAGGGTCAAGGACATCACAAGAAAATCCATAGAATCAACTAATCTGGGCTAATAGGAGCTCCCAGAGTCTGAACTGACAACCAGGGAGCTTTTCTGGGACCAACTTAGGCCCTCTGCAGATAGGTCACAGTTGTGTAACTTGGTCTACTTGTGGGACTCCTAACAATGGGAGCAGGGCTGTCCCTAACACTTTGACTGGCTCTTGGGAACCTAGTCTTCATACTGGATTGTCTTACCCAGCCTAATTACAAGGGGAGGTGCTTAGTCTTATCAAAACTTGATATGCCATGCTTTGTTGATACCCATGGGAGGCCTACCACTTTCTGAACAGAAACAGAGGAGGAATAGGTTGGGGGTGGGACAGAGAGGAGAGAGCGGAATGGGAAGAGAGGTGGGAAGAGAAACTGTGGCTGGAATATAAGGTAAACAAATCAATTAAATTTAAGAAAAATTAAGCTAAGGATATATCTCAATGATAGAGCATTTGCCTAAAATGTCTGAGGTCCTAGATTCATTCTCTAGTATGTATGAAAATAAAAAATAACAAAAATAATTTAAATGACATAAGTACAATTTTTCAGCTATAATAGAAAATACTATGTCTTTGAAATAAAAACTGCATCATTTTTTAATAAAGAACCAATGAACAAATAAGAAACACTTCACTTCTTGGGAATTGAGAATATAATTGAGGAGAGGGGGAAATGACATAAACAAATTAGAAAATAAATATCGAGAACATCCCAGAAAACAAAGCAAAAATTAAAGATAGAAAATATGAGAGAAAAGTTAGTGAAATTTTTTTTAATTTACAAAGCTACGTGTTGAAAACAGAAGCTGTAAAAGGAGACAAAAAAAGAATATGAACTGAAAAAAGCCACCACCCAGAAGTGAGGCATATGGGTTTCCAGAAGGGAAAGATGCTACTGTGCCCATCACAATGGCTGCCAATAAACCACCCAGGGAACACTCTGACGTCAGAACTAGGAATAAAGAAGGTTCTCTCAGTGGGAGGGAGAAAGAGAAAAAAAGAATAATCGCATTTAAGACCACAGAACAAAGTTAAATGACTTCAGATTTTTCACTCAATATACAAGAAAGCTGATGACAGAGCTAAGCCTTCCAAAACTTGAAGAAGAATAAGGTCTAGCTCAGAAAGGACACCACGCCAAACTACGACCAAGTGTGGAAGCAGGATTGGAAGATGTTTGTGGACAGAGAGTCTCAGCTGCTCTCCAGCTCAGGACTCAAGTAAAGAGTGAGCATGCTACATACACACACACACACACACACACAGAGAGAGAGAGAGAGAGAGAGAGAGAGAGAGAGAGAGAGAGAGAGAGAGGGAGAGAGGGAGAGAGAGAGGAGATTAGGGTCTGAGAACATAGGAAGTTGAACACACTATCAGTGACAGCAGTAAGCAAACACAACACTAAGTAACTTTTCATTCTAGATAAGACAAAAAGCACATCAGAGAAAAGCAATCTCGGAATAGTTGATGGCAACCACCAAGGTGATGTGGTGTGACCTTAGAATGTAAGCCTGGACACGAGCACAGCCTGATTTTTGATAGAGTGCATTTGAGCTGTGTCTTTGTGCAAAAATAGAGAAAAGAAATTACGTAAGTCCTCTTGTACAGGTGGGAGGTTCATAGAGAATGCCTGAATATCCACATGGCAGCAATACAATGAGCATCTTAGATCATCTGTAGGAAAACAGCCAAACAAAACACACACTCGGAAGAGGGAACCTCTGTGAATGTGCAAATAACAAATGTGTGTGTGTGTGTGTGTGTGTGTGTGTGTATGTGTGTGTGTGTGTAAGGTTCTCTGTGTGTGTGGTGGGAAGGGGCTGTTCAAGGTTCTCTTTGCCTAAAGGCTGTTGCTGTGGTCTAGAACCAATCCCTGCAGCAGGCTCACACTGACACGCTGCTCAGAGCCCACCCCTTCTCCACAGACCAACCTGCCCAAATGCAGGTCATATTGTCTCCAAAAGTTCCCCACTGGCCACTTGAGGCTCTCCAATCTCTCCCGCCAATCTGCAGCTTCTTGGCATTTTGCTATTAATAGCCACACATACTCATTGAGCAAGATTCTTTTACAACACTCCAGCTTTGTCATCTAACCAATTGCTACTACCTTGTGTGACTACCTTGTGGTGAGACTGAAAATGTTTTAAGAGTGGCAGGGTCTTCATTTGTTGCATTGGTATTTTTTCCCTTCCACAGAATCTAATCACTGCTGAGAGGCTAGTTATTTGCCATACGTGTATGGTGCATTGAAGTGCACTTGACATTCAAAACAGAACTCGAGCCTTATAAATTAATAAGATGTTTGAAGTCCAGCTAAGGGAGCTTAAAAACTGTGGTCACTAGAATTAGAAGTTTCAGTCTACTTTGCATTCAGTTTCTTTAAGGGATGTGTTCTAAGCCTTTGACCTCGGCAGTCTATTTACTTACAAAGTGATAAACTGTACGACACAAATGGTGTCAAGGTCCCAGGAGGCTTCCCCAAGAAATATTACCATGTCAAAAACAGATTCTTATTCCGGGAAATGTAGGCACAAGGAGAACAAAATTAAGTTCTCCAAAAAGCCCTCCAGTGACCCCAAAGTGCACAGACACCTTCTGTCCATTCCTCAAACATATGCCCAGATTTCTAAGTCATAATCTGCAAGGAGTTACAGCAGACTTCACCTCATGAGAGGGTAAATGGAAGCTGCACAGTTGCCATGGAAATGGAAAGAAAGCGCCATCTCTTACCTCGGTGAGACCTTCTTCTTCACAGAAAGTCTGAGAAAAGAACAGGCAGGTCATGGTCTCTTCCTTCTTTGTGAAAAGAATAAAGTCTTTGCCAATCCTCATGGACCCGCTATATTAAAAATAAGGGCACAGTGATTTACATACAGACACCAATAAAGACGAAACAAAGGGCATGATTTTGTTTACTGTAACAGGTTGTTCTTTTCGATAATCCATCTGTTTGACTCATTCCCAGGAGTGCACAAGTATTGTGTGACTTCTCAAAGCACAGCAGATGAATTTGAGAAGATTCAGCCCTATGATTGTGCTTGAGATAGAGCCTGAGAGAAGTTCCAGCCAAGGCTCAAAAGAACAATTTCTGGGCCCTGGAAGGAACCACACACGCCTCATTTACACTGAGGCAAACTAAATAAAACTGCAGATATCATATCAATGCTCAAAAATACTTTGAGACACAATAGAACGTAAAGAGGCAATGACACTGGGCTGCTCTGGGATGCCTGGGAGGGAATCCACTTATTTCACACAAGGAGCTCTTTAATGGTGTAAAGATCTGAGTCAGTTATGAATATAAAGATTCCAAAGCAAGTTTAGATGCTCAATAAAATAAAACTTCAGCTGGCTGTGCCTGCTTGTAAGATTTCCTCAATATTGTTTTCAATATCAGGTATCAGCAAGTTATTTCTATCTTAAGGGGGAACAATTCTCACCTCTTAAGCCCATTGCCATATTGTCCGATGAACTTCAAGGTTGATAACCGTTTCTTGGATGTTCCAAAGTAAATGATGTCTGGGACTTCATCTGAAATCGACAGAGTTCTTCAGGCAGTTAGGAATGATCTGATGTGAGTATTGAGTTCAGCTGTCAGAAGTTCACCCATGCCTCGGGACACTGGGACAAGCCCATAGCTTTTGAGATAGACCACTCTCAATAGACAGGATTAGTGTTAAGATCCGGAATCATAGAAAAAGATCCTCATGGTAATGTAATGAAGGTCTGACAGATATAACTGTGCGACCTTAGGTACAGTTTAAAACTGTTAGCTTTCACTTCATTGCTTCTAAAAGGAATGTGCTAACACCACAGTTATGACAAACAAACGAAACGAGCAGATGGATCTATAAAATGCTTGGCACACTGCCTGAAGGGTGAGTGTTATTGTAAATGTTGCAGTCGTCCAAAGATGGTAGCCTTCTCCTGGGGTTGCTTAGGGTTGGGGTTCAAGTGACACTGAGGACAGAGGGGTTTCCCTGCTGCTGCTCTCTGGGAGGAAGGAAATTCAGACTTGTAGATTCACTGTCCTCATCTCTCCATTCCGGATCCTGGGAAGAAAATCTCTGAACTTCCGAATATGTGATCTCCTAACTATGAATGCTTTCCCTATTAACCTGCCAAGTACAGCTTAATGTTATGTGGGGGACCTTGTGCCCATGTGGGCACAGACATGCTATATAGTTCAGCATCACTTCGAGTGAGATATTTAAAGGCCACTACAGGATATGAGTCTGAAGCTAAAGACATTTGACCACATGTTCTCATAAGTGAGTAGGCCACAGGTGAAGTGTCCATGATGAGATTAACCAGCATTTATTGGTAGTTTCCTATGTATTAGGAATGTTATACATGCCACATGCATTTTCTACTTTACATTTACACATACAGGAAGACATTAAGATCTGTATTAGCGTAGTGGTAGAGAAAAGTCGAGGAAATACAAGATCAAGTCCAAGAGGACTCAGTGACATGACAGAGAACCAACAAAGTGTGTCCTTCAGATAGAACAGTTAGGAAATGGCACTGAGGGTCCAGCCAGGTATGGCTGGAGTTCAAGAAAGTGGGTACTCCAAGAAAAGTCCCAAGAGGTGGGTGGGGTCAAGTGGAAGACACCTCATGAGACACTAACAGTGAAGGGAGGGGGTCTGAGCCTTACTCTGGAGCACTGGGTACTCACTGGGTTCTTCAGCCAGAGAGTGATAGGAGCATTTGCAGTGAAGTCCTTATCGCGGGGAATAACACTGAATAATAATGCACAGTATTAGAACTGAACATCGATTCTGTGATAGTTTGCGCTACCTTTAAAGACACAAGCCTGATCTAAATTGTGAGTTCCAACCAGTCGAAACTACATGATGAAACTGTCTCAAAAGAAAAACAACAACAAAAAGAAACCACAGATAAAGTCATGCAACATAGTGCAGACACATTTGGTATGGAAAACTGTGGAAGATGGGAGAAAGATAGATCCTGGGCACCACTACGGTCATCTTCTTTGGAGCAGGAGGGATCTAGCTCACTTGTGTCCACAGATAAGTTGTATTTTCAGTCATATACAATAAATTCTTTCTAACGTATTACTTGATTTCCAACTGTCTTAATCCAGGTTTCTATTGCTCTGCTAAAACACCATAACCAAAAGCAACTTGGGGTGGGGCTTTATGTTGCCTACACTTCCACATCAATCCATCATCAAAGAAAATGAGGACAGGAACTCAAGGCAGGAACCTGGAGGCGGGAGCTGCTACAGAGGCCTTGGGGGAATGCTTGAGGCTGACTTGCTCACCCTGCTTTCTTCTATTGTCCACGACCACCTGCCTATGGGTGGCACCACTCCCGGTGGTCTGGGAACTCCCAAGTCAGACATTAATCAAGAAAATGCCCTATACAAATAGTCACAGGCAGTGTTATGGTGGCATTCTCTCAATTAAGTTCCCTCTTCCCTGATATGTCTAGGCCTGTGCCAAGCTAACAAAAAACAACCAGCACACTAAGGATGTACACCTGTCTCTGTTCTCACTCTTATGCAGAACCCAGATCTAAACACGTGCATAATACACATATACATTACATCAGAGTGGGTGGGGTAAAATACAGAGGGAGGAAAGGACCAACTGGAGGGAGAAAGGTGAGTAACTGGGGATGATGGGAGGTAAAGCGTACACACACAATGATATACATGAATGGAAATGCCATTAAGAATGCACTACCTTGTATGTTTACTAAATAAGTCAGTAAAAAAATTCACATAATAAAACAATCCTCTTTAAAAGAGTTGTTCTTTCAACAATGCTGTTTTTTCTCCTACGTACAAATGCTCCTTGATTCCCACTACAGAGTTACACATATCCCAATTAACCCAGGATAAATTGAAAATATCAAAAGAAGAATGTGTGTTTACTATTCCTGTCCACTGATGAACACAGTTTGGCCACACAGACCACACTAGAGCATGCTTTATCCACATCATAATCACTGATGTACTAGGAGCTGGGGCCTGCTAGCAGTACCCAGCATCCTAAGAGGATATCCTGGAACACACTGCCAGCCCCAGCAAAGATCCCAACTCAAAATTCCTTCTGAATACATGCTGCTGCACCATTGTGGGAAAAAAAAGAACCCCTAAGAGACAGACAGCACTGTGTCAACTGAAGAGAGACTTCCATCTAAAGATCAATTCTTTATGATTTATCCATCCTGTAAATGACTCAATTAGGAAAGAGGGGTTTTCTCTTGTAGGAGCTCTGTATGTATGCTGTATGCATCCTGCTGCTTACAAACTCAGGAAAATGAACCTGCAACTCTTGCTAGACTTTTTCACTGTGGTCTCCTATGACCTCTAACACCTCCTACTGAAATGCTGAAAAAGAAATCACTACTTTAATCAAAAGAGACCAGGAAAAACTATCAGAACAAAGTAAGAGCAAGGAGCTGAGTGGGTTGGTGGGGCATTTTCTAAATTAGCTCATTGGCTACGGGAAGTGAGAGATGACACCAAAGCTAGGGACGTTAACTGTTTCACTTATGCTCACAGCTTCTCTCCAAACTATGGCCACCCTTTCCTCACATGTGTGTCCAGTCTGCTTGGAATTCGTCACCATTTTCTAAGCAGGATGATCAGAACCCTAGCTGAAGACACCTAAAACATTATAAGAAGTTCAGTTTAGATCCAAAACAACCCACAATCAGGATCAGAAGATGTATCATTTCATTTGCCCGTAGTCTATCCTGTACATTTACAAGGTTTCAACTGGGGCTACCCTTAGATGCACAAAAATAAACCCTGAGAGATATTACAGATGTATTTGCTATGATGGGAACATTCAGTCAAAGCAACTAACCCTCTGAAACAAGAGGAGGAAAAATACCCACAAACTGCTAAAAACAAGGAGAAACAACCTCTCTCTCAAGGTTATGCAGAAAATTAATAATAGCCTAAAGGCATTGAAAATTGCCTCAGGGCTCCTGGAACTAATAGGTAAAAGAGGAGCAACAAAAAGATCTCCGAGTCTATTCAGTTACTATTTGTAGTCTGTTCATTCCCAGGTGCTTTTGTCTTACAAGCAGAATGATTTGTCTTTCATGTGCGTTGACTAGAGCATATACAGTCATTGTGCGTCTTGGTTTAGACGGTTAAAAAGAATTTATTTTGCCTGCTAGAATATTTAACCCTAAAATATTCCAAAGCAAGTTGTCCAACATGTATTTCCCTTAATTGCTCCATATCTCTGTTTGGAATAGATAGTTCAGTTTACTTTTATTTATTTCGTGGGCTTGCAGGCTGCTTCCTTCCACCGCCAGTTAGGTATCTGGATAATTAACTCACCAGGACTCAGGCCGCATCCATCATCCAGGAAAGACAACATGAATCCTCCCTGCAGTGTCTCATCCTCCACTGTAAGAGAAGGCAGTTAGTCTTAATAAATATTGGGCTTAGTGTGTTCATCCGAAAATCACGCTGCTCCCATAATTATTCGTCCTCCTCCGTGTCAGGCATGGAGCCCCAGGTACGGAATAGAGATGGGCTTGGAATGGAGTCTGGGCTATGGCTTCCTCAGAAACTGCAGGGGGAAACCCATCACATAGCAAAAAGGATTTAATTTAACACGCAACCTCTGCAGGGAGGTAAATTATTCATACAGCAGGACAGGCCCTGCTTGGGACCCAGATTGATCCTTACATTCAGGTAGTAATTTTCCCAGAGGAGAAGAGCAGAGTGATAACCACAAGAAGTGACCCCAGGATCTCTCTATCTTCTTGCTCTTCCCTTCTGCCCTCCAACATTGCGGCAATTCTAAAATAAATCTGAGCCCTTCTTAATAAGTCCATCAGGCTCCCTTCTAAGTAGTTAATCCCTCTGAGAGCCTTTGGTGAGTGTTTCTTCGCAGCAGCAAATATCTGTTTCTGGAAAGGGTTGAGTCACTAGAAGTCAATTTTGATGACAAAGGGAAGCCATTGCATTACATAATCTAAGCTACAGGTTAAAATGTTAACTGTGTGACCAAAACTAATGAATCTAATTTCAGCAAGCAGTCTGTAAAACAGTTCTGAAACTAATTTCAACAGCTAGATATGAGTACTAACACATTGCCTTTTTAAATAGTAGTGCTATCGATGAGTAACATATGGACAATAAATAAAATATGCTTAAAGTATATAATTTGACTACTGCTTATGTATTTGTGAAAACATCACAATCCAAGCAAAGAACACACCCAGCACCCCCAAATACTTCCTGCTGGCCTTCTGTAATTCCTCCCGCTTCCACACCTGATCACCGTGACCTAGTCCTCAGACAATCATTGGCACGTGTTCTATTGCCGTGAATTACATTTTTAGCATATTTAAACCAACCTATGTATTCAAAGTTCAATTAGAACTCACATTTAAAATTGGGACGATGCTCAAGGTAGCCAGTGTAAAAATATCTAAAAGATGCACCTAGCTGTAATAACCCCCTTTGTTACTCTGTTACAAAATGCTTGAGTCTGGATAATTTATGAGGGGAAAAATATTTATTCATCTCATGATTCTGCAGGTCTAAGAGCATAGTGTCATTTTCTGCTCTGCTCTGTGAGGGCTTCACAGTACATCAAACACCAGTACGAAGACTGAATGCAAGAGCAAGTCGCAGAGTGACCAAATGGCAAGACAAGTGACCAGAAACCCAGAGTCAAACTTCATGACAACCTACTTACAACAACATTAATGTCTTTTGAGAATGAAATTTCTAATGCTTTAGTCACCCCCCTCTAGGGATCAAAGTCCCGACATCTCTCAATGTCACCCATTGATAACTAAGTGTCTAAGACAGGAGCATTCAGAGGACAAACCACATTTAAACCATAAACTATCTGAGCAAGGTCCCAGTAATGTGACCTCATACTTATGCTAACTCCTTGCTCTTTGCTCATCCAGGACTAAGAAGTGCATGGCCCAGGACATGACAGCCTCGACAGCTCTCAGCAGCCACAGCTAAATTTGAAGATTTTAAAATAATAACTTATGGGAGAACCCAGAAGACACAATACAAACAGTTTAGAAAGACCAAGATTCCCAAGACAGACACACTACAGATATATAGTACCAAGGGCTTAGGGGTGAGCAGATGTGACCTCAAAATCTAGGCATCCCTACTACCCACACAAAGACAGCCTGACCTCACTCCCTTAAAGCGGTCAGTCTGGGGCTAGAGAGGTGTCTCGGTGGTTAAGAGCACATACTGTTCTTGCAGAGGACCTGTGTCTTGGTCCCAGCACCCACATCAGGAAACCCACAATTGTCTGTAACTCCAGCTCAAGGGAAACCCAACATTCATTTCCGGATTCTGTGGGTGCCTTCACTCACATGCACAAACCCACACGTGCATACAAATGCAATTTAAAAACAATAAAAATGAGTCTGTCTTTAAATGCTATGGGGCTCAGGTTCCTATCACCTAATAATCATGTATTTCCCAAAGCAAACACCATCATCATTTCCACAAAACTTAATCCTTTCTGCAGTGTTTGCTATTTGCACTGGACTATGGCCAAGTCAACACTTCAGGACTACTGAGTTTCCACTCCTCCCCTACCCGGGCACGGGTCCTCAGCGTCCTGGTCTTCTTCTCACGGGAATTAGATGACTCTATTCTGATGTACTGATTTCACTGCGACTGTCACTATCTCTTTTCTGGGAGACAGCAACAGCTCCCTAACTCCCTCCCTTAATCACAACATGCAGCCCAATTTTAGCCGGCTGTTCACGTCACCACTCCTGCTAAAATCCTGCTCTGACTTCCCACGGCTCTCAAGAAAAAAATCCAAGCCACGGGGCAAATCACACTTCTCTCTCATGGCCTAGTTTTCCAACTTCAACCGTCCTCATCCCTCAATTGACCACCACGCCACACAAATGTGTTCCCTGAACTAATCTTGAATGTCTCCTGAGTGAATGTAAGACAGATCCTCTTCCCTTGTCTGATCCACCAGCTAGAGTCGACTCTCCTGTGGGACGACTTGCTGTAAGGCTTTTTCTAGGAGTTTTCTTAATACCTCCATGTCATTAGGTACCTGAATGGTCTCTTTCTATGATTCCCCCCCCCCCCACTGTGATCATCTAACCCTGATGTTGGACCTGTGAGCACATTTACTCTCTCAAAAGACTACAAGCCACATCCAAATATTATGTCTCAGTGACAGAGACTCATATTTTCATTTATTTCTCAAACTTTTCATAATTTGAATAGGAAGACTGAAGAGAGTGTCATTTATTTTGCCTTGGGGTTTCAACATCTACATATCTATGAACCCTAAGCACTCATCTTAACACGTTCAGAAAAGAGAAGTGATCTGAGACACCTTCTGCTCAGAGACGGAATCACACTACGTATGGATGATATTCTCTCCCGCGTGATCAAAACTAACAGAAGGATGCGTGTGTTAGTATAGAAAGGCAGCATTAACTGTATCACAGAAACTGATGTCGTTAGCATTGTAATCTACCAAGACTAACTAATAAGTGCGCAAAGCACTGAGGGACCAGAAACGAAGGCAATAAAGAAAGTACAGTGGGTTTGTGGTTGTAGCACTTAGATAATTATCTGTATTACATATCCACTTACGCATTTTAAACTATGAGAAGAAAAAAGTGAGGCATGCTTAATCACGAACAACCATTACGTTAATATGATTTTTAAAAGAAAACTGCTTTCCATGGCCAAATTCACAGGTCCAAATCACTCAGACGTTTCCACAGAACTCTAGAAGAGATCATTTTGTAAACGGGACTTCAGGTAAGTGAGCAGTTTGACCCTGAGAGTATGCATTTCTCAATCCGGCTCCCCACAGGGACACTGTTCGTGAAGCACTTAGATTACATTAAAAATCTATAAAATGTGGTGTGATTTGATGAAATAAAAGAAAAGTAAAGTAGCTATAGGCTTTTCTTTAGAAGAGAAAACAAGAAAGGAAATGTGTGCTCACCTGAAAAAACATCAAGTCGCAAAGCCCCGGCATCTCTGGAAACAATGCAAAAATAACATTACTTTACAGAAAAAAAAATGTGCCTTAAAAATAACATTAATCTCAATAGCTTATGCAAGGTTTAACCTATTATCAGATATCAAACAATTCAAAAATCATAAATCACTTAAGATCAATTTCTAAGACGGTTCACTATACATTTATATAGAAAGAAATGTCATCACCCATAATTTGGGGTTATTACAAAAGCTATGACTTAGTAACTTAAAAGACTAGAGATGAAATTCAGTGGTAGTTATTTTTTTAAAAAAGGTTCAAAATGAGTATAAATATAGTGTTTATATTTTAAAGACTTCCTGGAGAATAATACAGAACCATAGGATGATTTTCATGATATATCCCAGTTCAAAAACTGGAAATTCAGAAAAGGAAAATTACTGTCATTTGTACCATGTGACCATATTTTTAAAAGCATATATATATATATATACACATGTACAAAGGAAATGAGTTCCTTTGCAATGGTGGAGGTGAAGCCCCAGGCTGGGACTGGGAAAGTACTTTGCCCAGCCCTCAGAAAGTTAATAAAGGATTTTTCTAGACTGGAAGTAGGCAAACTATTGACTATGGACGAAGTCTGACTCACCAACTGTCTTATTAAAAAAAAAGCTTATTAGAACACGATCACGCTTGTTCATTTAAGTACTGCCTATGGTTTTCTTAGCCCTACGTTGGCAGAACAGTCATTTCAGCAGAGGCTGGACAGCCTTCAGAGACAAATAGATTTATTTTCTGATCTTTCACAGAGAAGTATTGAGAATCCTGTTCTATGAGATACAATTACCAGTGATTTTTCTGTTCTTTCTTTTTTCCCTTATTTTATCAGTTTTAAAATAGCTATTTCTTGTATTTCAAGATTTACAAAAGTAAAAAAAAAAAAAAAAAAAGCAAAGGAAGGAGGGCCTCCAAGATTCTGGCCTCCATATCGGGAGTGAGAGAAGAGACAGAAACTGTGAGGTCTTGCTTGGCTGATGGCGAAGAATGCGTGCTGGGGAAGGGAGTGTCTGTGAGAAAGGAGCAGACTGGGACACCTGTGCAGATACTCTTGCTTACACACATAGTCAAGGCGGAGACTGAGTACTGTATCTGGTATAACTGGTGATGGGAAAACCCATGTCCCTCCTGAAATATCCATCAGTCTCAAACCACAAACCACACCAAATAAACTGGGAGGCAGCACACTGCCTTCACTCTGCTAGCCTGGTAGAGAGCTGCTTTTGCTTTTTCCTGGAGCTAAACATACTTTAAAGGTCTCGTTATACAGAAATTCTGCAAGAATCCCTGCCATTTCTTAAGGATTTCCTACCCGTGAAGCACACACTGAATGGGATATTGAGTTTTGAAAAGTCTCTGCTATTCCTTGACTACAATCCGGTATGCAGGTACCAACGTTTCCACTATATCATTGTGCATTTTACTAAGAACCATGGGCACATTCGGTGCTCAGTAAATGCCACGGTACTGAAGTCAAGTTTGCTGGGTTTGTTGTTTGGTGTTGCCTTTTTGTATGTTAAATATCTAATAAAGGGCCAAATACTCGACCACTGAGTCTCCCAGCAGAAATGAAAGACTTTAAAGAAACAGTTTGTTTATAGAGGATGCCCACTAGGTATTTATTATAGCGTTTCTGCCTCGGTCCAGGAGATATTCCCTTTGGATCATCAATGACTAGGACACCTCCAGCCTTCCTCCCTCCTTATACAATATTCGTTTATGATACGTAAATCCTAATCTTTACACCCACAGGAAATCACTGACATCTTGAATATAATGTAAAATAATTTATTAGAGTAACAGGGAAGCATACAAAAACCTTCAGAAGGCTGACAGGGAATCGTAAATAAAACGTTACAAGTACATTTTCTTTTAATGGAAAATACAGCAGCTAAGCAAGGATTGAAAACATCAGTGTCTGCCACAGCCGGAAAAAAGGCCAGTGTGGGCTGTCTGGGGCAGCAGGGAATAAAGCAAGGCTGAAGGAACAGCCAGCCCTGAGAAGTACTTGCCACCTACTCTTCTCCATCCGCCGATCCCCAGAGGAATGGGATCTAAAGGGTGCCATTTCTCCCACTACTTCAAAGAAAAGTAGATAGCCCAGACTCTTCTTTTTAATTCTGCTCTCCCTTCTCTTGTTTCTCCTCAGAGAGAAGGGGCGGGGGGAGAGAAAGAGATTGCACATGCCCACATGTAGGTGCATGGTAGGTGTGCAAAGCGCATGTTACATGTGTTCGGGCAAGTGAAGTTTGGAGGAAATCTCAGATGCCACCTTCAACAACAATATACATCTCTTTCAAGAAAGAAACTCATCACCAATTAGGCTAGAATGGCTGGCCAGTGAGCGCAGGAATCCTGCTGTTTCCTCTTCCTCTTTAGCATGGGAATTACAACAGCACCTTGGAACCAGGCATTGTTATATGGACTCTGGAATCCTCACAAGGCAAGCCCTATTACTGAACAAGTTCCCTGCACCCCTGGCCGGCCTATTGCTTCTTGAACCTTCTTATCTTCCTTTTCTTTCTAGACTCTGCAAACTTTCAGAAATTGGCTGGAAGTGGCCACACCATGGTGTTGGAGGTTCACTAAGGCAACTCTGAACTGTTTTCAGTCAGGATCTAGTGGAGGGGGTCTCCTTGTAGGGGTATCAGCCATGAGAAACTACAGAGAAGCCAACCATGGTGATTCTTGGTCCTGGCCCCGTCTCTCCTAGCTCCTGACTTGAATTCAGTGCCCCTTGGCTGAAGAACAGCTTGTTATTTTCCTATGTTGCTTTCTACCTTACAGAGAGAGCAAAGTGCTAGCAGATTTTCCCCCTTTGGTGCTGGGAGGAATTCCCAGTAGCTGTCTAATTACTGCTCTCTGTGTGGGCTCTCGGAAAGACCATCTTATTTCTAAGGTTCGAAATGAGAGGCAAAACTCAAGAAGCTGATATGTTATCAGCTAGTGACAGGGAATTTAGCTCCCCCATTAAGAGTCTCTGACAACATTAGAATGTATCTTGAGTAGACTTTGCCACAGAGAAGGTAAAAGCAGTTTTTCTTTAACAAAGGGACGGAAATATAACCAAGTCATTATTCAACTAAGCAGAGAAAATGGAGGCCTGAGCTAGGTGTGCTGGTGTATTTCCACAATCCCAACACGGAGACAAGAAAATCATGAATTTGAAGCCAATCTGGACTCTACAGGAAGCTTGGGGCAGCCTGGGCTGCATAACAAGACCTTGTCTCCACAACAGCATAGACTATGGGTGCTGCAGTGACCAGCAGAACCTTCCAAATCAGCACCTCACACCCATAATGACCTCACGTCACTGGAATCAGGGCTCAAACATAAATTGATTTCAAACATAAATAGAATCTATTTGTTTCTTGAAATTTCTTCCATCTTTGCTTACAGACAGCTTACCTTGCATTGTCCAGCAGCTCAGCCAGGGCTCCAAAGAGGAAACTGTGAGTTGTGCTGATGAGGAAATGAAAGGCGAAGAGAAAAGTGAAGCAAGGATGTAAGCAGAGTAAGGTTTAAGATACAGCCAAATGTTCTTCCAGCTCTTGGAGGGCTGAAGGTTGATCTGAGGGTGAACTCAGGCTCCCTTCAGGATAAGGAGCTTGCTTTATATTTCCCGACATGGCCATTTCACACAACAACATTACCACACCATCAGGGGAAACCTAGCTTGCAAGTTTCTCTTCATGTGTAGACTTGGTTCCCCACACCCACACTGGCTGCTATAAGTGCCAGATTTTCTAGTTCCAAGGGGTCTGACACCCTTTTCGGACCTCCCTGGACAAACAAAAGACATAAGTAGAAATTATAAATACATATATATATATATATATATATGTATACACACACACATACACACACACACACATATATATATAGGTTTTCTGAGACCAGGTTTTTCTGTGTAGCCCTGGCTGTACCAGAGCTCAATCTGTAGACCACGATGGCCTTGAACTCAGAGATCCACCTGCCTCTGCCTCCTAAATGCTGAGATTAAAGGCGTTTGCCACTACCACCTGGCTATTTATAGTATCTTGGGAGTTAAAATTTAGTATATAACCAACCTGACAGGAAATCACAGTAATTCCAGGCAAACATTATAATACTACACTATGTCACTGGCTCTTCAAAGTGTAAAATTTCCAACCCAAACTGCCATGAAGATTTCTGTGCTAGTTCATTCAAGAGAATTTTATAAGTGTTTGACATGTTCCCCCATAGAACCTTTTTGGAATTCAAGTCATGATCTAGACGGAGGTCATGGGGTACACAGAGAACACACAGGTAGGCACATGGAGACAAAGCCAGCCTTCCAGACCTTGGCCAGGGCTACCTTCACAGTAGTGACAGCAAAGAGTGCCTGCAAGGGAGGGGCAGATGGTCACCAAAGACACTCCTCACCGGTGACACCTCATCTAATCCCAGAAGATGAAAACTCTACACTTTGAACAGCCAGAGTGACAACTCTTCAGACGGGCAAAGATCTCAAAACAGAAAAGAATGACAGAGACCACACTACACCTTTGATGAATACAGAGACCAGGCTAAAGTGAAGATGTCTGGGTCATAGGGAATTCCTGTGCAGCAGAGATGGGTTTATACAAGCCTGCATGCAAGTGGCTAACACCAAAGTATGTTCTCATGAAAGGCCTTTCTCTGCAGCTCACTTTTCAAAAGCTCAGCCTGGAAGCTTAGAAAACACGAGCCTAGAAGGAGCTGGGGTTGGAAGCACAGCACCCAGTTGGGAGGTTATATGGGGGTGGTGCAGATGAGAGGTGATGTGGCTTGGGCCGAAGTCAACGGCAGCAAGAATGAAATGAAGAGTTATGTGCCTTTGAAAAAGCATGTGCTTGACTGTAGGGTTGGTTCTAGCGTGTGGAGACTTGATATTGAGTGTAGTAATCCCAGAACTTGAGAGGCTGTGTCAGGAGGATTTCAAGTTCGAGACCACTCTGGGTTCCACAGCAAAAACCCTATTTCAAAAAGCAAGCAAAACATTTTACTTCCGTGTTTATGGATGAAGATCTACCAGGGAGCTGAGAAGATGCCAGTCTGTTGCAGAGTTTGGGTGGCATCATGCTGTCACCCTCTTTGTCATTCTGCCACCAGCTGAAAACTGAGCTACGGTCCTTGGTATCTCAGGGCAGGGTGTGGGAAAGTGGAGCTGGGACTTACAACAGCAACCACAAACTGTACACAACGAAGGTGGGCCGCTCCTCTGCCATAAAAGTCTTCGTAGTGCTAGCTCACACTTCTTCTTGAACTCACTCCAAACTGTTTCATTCGTCCTTAAGCTACTGAACCCATTCTCCACAGCAGATAAACATCTGCTTGTTATCACCTACGCTCTGCCACCTTAGAAGCACACCGATTGTCCTCCACAACACGGCTGCCCTTCCCGGCTTTCTCAATACCTCCATCCCTGTGGTTCAAACATGTTCCATCCATCATATCAGTCAGTACTTTCAGGAAATACAAGTGACCAAGTAATTTCTAAACACCAACACCCCCTATGAATTGCACAACACTCTCTACAGCCCTGTGCCAAACTTGAAGTGACAAATCACACACACACACACACACACACACACACACACACACACACACACAAATGCAGTCACTCGCTCCTGCAGTCTGACTGTGGTAGTCTTCCCTTATCCATGGTTTGGCTCTTCTCTGGGTTTTTATTTCCCGTAGTTTCACTCCAGAAAATATTAATTGGAAAGTTCCAGGAGTAAGTTAACCGTAATTTAAGAAGGGAACCAATCTAAGTCGCATCATAACTTTGTTTTGCTCCATTTCATCGTGGTGCGTGGTTGCAACTAGTCTATAGTATTGTTCCCTAGCTCCTTTATCAACTGTATGGCAGACACATATGCATTGGAAGAGCTAAAGATATAGCAACATATACAGACTTTTATCTTCATCTGTAGTTTTATAGCACCCCAATATCTAAACATGCACTTGTGGAGGCTGTCAATAGCCATGGTTAAGAATGGACTGTACTATTTCTTTCCAATGTTTCATTTTGTGTGTAAAGGTGTTTTGGTGCATGTACATCTGTGTACCACAGTGCATGCCTGGTGCTTCCGGAGGTCAGAAGGTGGTGTTTGGAGTTACAGAGGGTTGTGAGGCCGTCCTGTGGAGGCTTCCGATTGAACCCAGGTCCTCTAGAAAAGTAGCCGGTCCTCCCAACTGCTGAGTCATCTCTCTAGCCAGACTGTACCGTTTCAATTAGCAGCAAGAAAGAGGGCACCAAAAGCATCTGACCCTGGCAGAGAAGTGAAACTATCCGATTACTGTCCACAGCTGTTAAAACCTACACACGGGAACGGCTCTGTAAAGCAACATGGGTATTTACAGTGTCTTGCAGAGCATCGGAACAAGGACAGAAAGGATGGGTAGGAGTTCTAATCTGCCGGCCAACATTTAAGTAGACTTATTAAGTGATAAATGTGGGGCCATCTTTCCACTTGGTTTTAACGGAAGATCATCAAAACGACTCAGTCACCAGGAATAGCGTTATTACTTTCCCTGAAAAAACTACACGCTGTAGAAATACATTCTTAAATCCGTCCTACTAAGTTCATTAGGCTTTTGTTTTCCAATTGAATATTAGAAACTACCCCCATTCCAACCCCTCCTGGACTCACGAGTTTGCGTGGATGAAATCCAGATGCAGCTTAGCCCTCTGCAGTGAGGCATATTTGCTCATTTTCTCAAACACGATCTGTGGACACCATAACACACCGACGCCTGGTAGGAAACTGCATGCCCACACAGACGCCTACGTCCACGCCCACGCCCACGCACTGGCTCACTTGCAGAACAAGAGCTCGAGAGTGACGCATGCGCCGTCTGGAGTCCTCAGCACGAAGCCAACTTTGCGCTATGTATGGTTCCTCTCTGAGAGGGTCTTATTTCGGTTTGGTTTTATTTTGAGCCAGAGTTTCATTTCATGGTCCTGAGTATTCTGGAACTCACTATGTACACCAGGTTGACCTCAAACTCACAGAGATCCACTTACCTCTGTCTCCCAAGTGCTGGAATTAAAGGCCTGTGCCACCATGCTAGGCCTTTCTGGGAGGTTCTTGATTACTGCTAGTCTGTACCTAGTCTGGTTTCTTTTCAGCACTGAGGTTTCTATAATTGCACCTTTTCTTCTTCCTGGCAGTTTCTGTCACTATCCATCTGAAAAATGGGAGTTTAGAAATGAATCAGAACTGAGAACTCTCACCCTTGCCCCTCTCCCTTCCTCTTTACTTTTCTCCCCCAAATCTGTTTGTGAACATGGGTACAAGGCATGAGACCTAGGAAAGTAAAACCGTTTCTTCTTGCTTGTATGGCCCACTTGCACTCTTGGGTGTCTTGGGTATAAGTATGTTTTCTACATTGTGAGAAGGAGGGGCAAACAAAGGGAAAAACAGGTAACAGCAGGATTTAGACAGGCTGCAGTGTGCAGGCCTGGCCCTCCGTGTTAGCAGCTCTTGCCACCTGGCAGAACAGCAAACATATTCTATTTGTCACACCTGCAAACAGCTATTTGGCGTGCTGGCCTGTGTCCAAATTCTGTCAATATACTCAACAGAGGACTGAATTCTGAGTCACCGAAACCTAAGAGGAAGCAGCAGTATTTGTCAAGGCCGCTGGAGGGACAGGGATAGGCTAGGAGGTGACTTGACCTCTGATCTCTGTAATGTAGTCAGACTGTTTCAAAGGCTAAGGCTATTTGGCTTGAAGACTAACATGGTTCAGTTCTACTTGGCAAACGTTCCATACACCTTTCTCCAAGTCAGAAAGACAAGTCTGTTGAGCAGCGAGTCTGAAGTAGGTGTTTTGTGATTTCAAAGTGTCATGCGGGCAATAAAGCTCTCAGAAAATAGAAACAAAATGGTAAATGTGTAGCAGTCACCCTGCTTAGAAGAAAGAAATTCTTTCTCAGCTGCTGCATTTATAGGAATCGGGGGAGGAAGAGAGCATTTGAATTGCAACCCAGAGGAACAGGATGCTCCGCTTTAATTTGAAGACTGGAAGTGAACGTAAACATTTCAAGTAATTTCTCCTGATTACATTTTTGTTTTAACTGTGGCTGGCATGGCTGATGCTGTTCCAATAGCCACATTTTCTTTACTAAGCAACCTAAATTATCTTCCCAAATTTTTCTCCAGTAGAACTTCACAGATGATATTTTCCTTTCAGTTTTATGGGAAAGAAAAGCTCGGCGAGCCTCTTCCAGATTTGTTTTACAGTTCCAATTTTCAACTGCTGTCTCAAAGAAACTTGCTTGAGGGGAGGGGGGCACCGGAGCCACTAGGCTGTAATTAGTAAAGGCTGTAATATCTACTGGCAGAAAGGATACAATTATCACAGAATCAGTCCATCTAACAATCGGAAGCAGACCCTTCTTGCCAAAAGTGGCCGGCACTAAGCACCAGGCAGTACTGGAAAGCGCAGTGAGAGTGGAGGTGGGCTGCACACATGGATCTGTTAGGTTATGCTAAATGAGAAGCCTGGAGTCACGGTACACCACCCCAGAAAACCCTCCTCCTCCCTCAGTGCAGCCCTGTTCATCACCCTTGCACCGTATAAGCTAAGTCTCCTGTTCTTCCAGAAATATACAGGACATTCCTGGTTTTGCTTATTTCCCTCAACCCTGCTTCAAGATGCATTTTAACATCATTTCATGCTGTTAACACCTATATAACAGCAGGGAGAGGAGATGAAGAGAGTTGATTCTCTTATGGCTGATCCTGATTTTCAGGAGAATTGCTTCAGCTCTCCCTGACTAAACATTTTAGGTTTGTAAATACAGATGCTATACAAAAGTAGCTCTCTTTCTCTTAATAAGTCCAGATGACCCAGTGCTTCATTACTTCTGGGGACATATTTAAACTCAGAATTAAGATGATTAACTTGAACGTTTGGATTGGCATCTAGTTGACAATCTAGAAGTTTGAATGGGTATCCAGAAAGGACTGCCATGTCATAAGAACCGCAAATACTATTATCAGCACATTCTAATGAACACGGAAGGTGACTGCTATAAAGCTGATAATGTGTGAAAGGGCCAATGACCCCCCCCCCACTGAGACAAGTCCAGTGACCCTGAAAACAATGAATAGCACCCTGGTCAAGTTCCTCACTGTGCCTTCATCTCTCCCAGTTACCCCATGTCAGTCAATGATGTCATCACATCAGTTTTGAATGTAACCAGCATCAAACCATGATACAGTGACAAGCACCTCTGGGCAATGTGGGAAAATAAGAGGCCTGGAGCTTTGCCAAGCATAACAAGGCTATTAGGGTTGAAACCCCAGTGCTTGCTGTGAGGAAGTCAGCCCAAGAGCTCGTCTCAACGCTTCTCCCCATCCCCAAGCTGAAAACTGACTTCTGTGGGCATCCTTGTCACTAGAGATTTCCCTGAATGACACAGAGGCAGAAAGAGTGTTAACTAATTTCTCAGATGGTCTTTGCCCTCCTGGTAAAAACTGGCTCCAGCTCCCTTCTTTGAGGAAATCAAGCATAACAACTGGATCTTTGGGTATCTTTGCATCCATGATTGAAATGTTGGGGAGACAGACATGAAAGTACCCCAACTCTGGACACTTGTCAGTAGTCACTCATCTTGAGAGTTCTGTTATGAAACTAAGCCTGCTGTTCATCCTTACACAGTTAATTGGATTTTTAATTTATTGTGTGTGTGTGTGTGTGTGTGTGTGTGTACCATATGCATAAAGTGCCTGTGGTGGCCAGAAGAGGGCGTCAGATCCCTTGAAGCTGGAGTTACAATGTTGTGAGCCACCCAGTACCCTCTTAACCATTTCTCCAGCCCCAGTAATTGAATTTTCCTGTACACTTGTCCAAGACTGCTCCTAAGTGACTTTCAGAAGGTACTGGGATCACACTTTCTTACACCCCTGGACAACAGCAGCAGTGTGTCTGTTACTTGGAGGGTTACTTCAGGCTTTCCTTTCAGCTCATGCTCCATGTGCGTGATGAGTCAGTGGATATTAAAGACAGGAGCACTGTCAGTACACAAGGATCGCAGAGGCAGGGTGTGAGGGGCCAGAATTGAGCAGTCCTAGTCATCAGAGTGAAACTCAAACAGGACAGGTCAGGCTGCCAGGGAAGGACAAGGCGTGAGGAGAGCAGCGTGTGCAGTGGGGTGATGCTCCTGTGTAGTGCAGTACTTAGTTTGGAGACACTATGGACTCATTATGCAAATCAGACATTTCTTTCAGGAGAGTTTGTTCGTTATAACAATATAAAAATCAAGTCACTTTGTTTGTACTTTCAAAGGCGTACAATAGAGACAAGCTGCATCTCTGTAGGCATTAGAAACCATCCCACTTACTCACAGTATGAAAAGTATATTCAGGGAAATAACTGTTCATAAAATGCAAAGGAGGATAGAGTGGTCTAAGCGAAGGGTCGCCACTGGACAAGTGAGTTCCATCTCATTATTACAAAACTGCAGAGTGGAAGACATCATAACAGCTGTCTCCAGACACTCACGAGCATGGTCTCCTGCTTGCAGGATGCAGAGGTTGGCCGCTGCCTCCCAAAGCTCACATCCCATGTTCAGCGTCCAGAAACTGGGGGTGGGAAGGGTGGAGTAAAAGGAAAGAAATATTTGATGTCTAACTTCAGCTCCCATGGCAACAAAATTAGTGACACCTCCCCTGCCCCACCTCCCATTCACATCTTGAGCTTAACCATAAAGGCATCTGTGGTGGTTTTGATGAGAACTGTTCCCCCATGGGATCACAGGTATTTGTGTATTTGATCCCCATTTAGTGAAACTGTTTGGGAAGATTATGACACTGTTAGGAGGTACAGCATTTCTGGAGAAAGGGCAATTACTGGGGGAGCTCCTGAGGATTTCTCCACTTCCAGCTTGTGCACTGCTCCTTGAGTGTAGTTGAAGATGTGGTCCCTTGACTTGCTGCTCTGCTTTGGGTCATGCCGTTTTATCACAGCAGGATGAGAGTAACTGATACAGCATGTAAGCATCCCTTCTTATTTCTCTATCTGTATAACAAGGCTTTTAAGCATCAGTTATGGACCAAAGGTGTTATGGGCCCTCTGGGGAAGAAGTCGAGTCTCTAACACATGATATTAGCAAAGATCAAAGAAGTTTTGAAATTTTTAAATTGGAACAGCACCATGAAACATAAGTTTTCACTTAAAAAATAATAATAAGCTTACACTTTAAAAGAAAAAATTAGGTAGTGGTGGCACACACCTTTAATCTTAACTCAGGAGGCAGAGCCAGGCGAATTTCTGAGAGTTTGAGGTCAGCCTGATCTACAGAGCAAACTCCAGAATAGCCAAGGCTACATAGAGAAACTTTCTCTAAAAACTGGGGGGTGGGGGATGCACTTATGAGTTAAAAAGAATAGGAATGAGCATTTTAGGCAGAGGAGTCATGGGGGGAGGGAGTGAAATTTCTGATCATTCGGTAAAAAGTTTATATCCAGAGAACGATGAGTACAGTAAGGCAGCCACAGGGTGGTGTGGCAGTTGAGGGGCTTGGGGAACGGAGCAGCTATCGGGTCCTGGCAGGTCCAGATGCCCAGCTGACTGTTAAGATTTTAAATAGGACAAGACAGGGGAAACACGTGTGCACGGACCAACTTAGCTCTTCTCAGGTATGACAGAAGCAGAAAAGGAAACAGGAATTAATGTCATTTCGTGTTTTAGCTTTTCTCTTCTATGGATATGACTTTGTTGCTAGCAGCATTGGGCGAGTCACACACACACACACACACACACACACACACACACACACACACAATTATCAGGTTCAGAGATTAGGAAAGAATGAGTTCATTTTGGGACATGGTAAAAT